ACTAAACAATCATCAATCAGCCTGTTATTGTGTGCTTGGAGACTGCCGTTGATGAGTAACACCACCACTATACAAAGACTTAAGCTGCCTGCTTATCAACTTACTATTACTATTCATCGCCATCCTCATTTCCAAATCTTCTGACCACCACTGCTCCAAACCGTGCGCTTCTAGAAACTTCTGCTTCCCCCTCGACAGCACAAACAGCTTAGCTTCCGCTTCTACCTTATCATCAGCACCCTTCACATCATTCTCCTTATCCTCCCCACCACCACCATCAACCCCCCTCCTCTCAACCGCGGTGTCACTATAATAACAACAAATGTAATCACTATTGTTCACATACAAATGCGGGACCCACTTCTTCTTCTTAGCCCGCCCAGCCGCCACCTCATCACACGACCCGTTTTCATTCTCATTCCCATTGCTCATCTGCCGCATAATCGACCGAACGACTCTCTTCCACGCCTTCCCAGCCTTCTCCCCCACAGCCCTCACTCCCGAAGCTAACGAAATCGAGGGCGGGTTAAAAAGGTGGGCCTCCACACACACGCCTTCCTTCGCCAGTTCCTTCCCGACCTGAAGCGCAAAACCGGCACCCAACGAGTGCCCCGCCACACAAACATTACTGCTCCCGTACCTTCCGGAAACTTCTTTCAACGCTTTTAACGCGCATTTGAATCTCACGGACCCTTTCAAGCTCTCCCACGTCAAGAACCGGAGGTCGTCCTCGATGTCTCGTCTGACGGTGGGACCCTTCAGGAGAGTCCCGCGGAGGGCTAAGACGGCTCGTGGGGCACCGCTCGGCCTAAGGAGAACGAAGTCGGCTAAGGCAGCCGAGCGGTCCCACTCGAGTATGGCGCCGAATATAGAGTTGTCGCGCTCGTCTGTAAGGGTCTCGGCGAGCTTGTATTTGAATGGGGCCCACCATTTGGGGGCGAGGGCATGATCGGTGTTTGTACGGTTTTCTTGGCGGTCGAGCTCGAGGAGGTAGACGGCTTGTATGAAGCAAGCTATTACGGTTCGTTTGTAGTTTGGGTCCTTCCTGTTGGATTAAGAAACGGCCCATCCATTTGTGATGCCGTCAAGAATAAGTATTTACTAACAAGTCTCAAATTCAATGAGAAATTCTGGATGAATAAGTCACAAATTCTTTTGTACGAAAGTGACTGCATTTTGGCTACCAAACTACTAGCTATGTATAAAGTATAAACCCCATTTTCCCCTTTGCCAGTTGGATTTTGCTGTCTTGACTAAACAAAAGAATAAAAGAGATTCGATTCAATAGGCAAGGAACAGAGATATGACAGTGAGGATTGCTATAGTCCCAAACAAAAATTTCATGAGAATTGCCAGAAACAAGTGATTTATACAATGAACATAAGCCCAATCCCCACAATCCAACATCATTTTAGTAAGGAGTCGAGTCGATCAGGATTGTTGGGCTTAATCGGATTTGAAATATTTCCGCTACTTAATCAAGAGGTAATATCGAATCCTAGTTATGTGATTTAAGTTCAAGCATATATATGTAATATAGCTAAAGCAGGCGGCAAAATCAGTTATTTTGCAGGTTAAATTTAAAAAGAACGTATCTTTCCCTACAAATCATATCATTTATTGCGTTTTATCCTCATGACAACTCATCTCCTGGCAGGACGAAACTCCCCAACAAAATTAGGTATACAAAAGGGAAATTTTCAAACATCAACAGGCAAAGAGCAAAGCCCACATTAATTTCCCGTGCAAACTAAAATTTGCAGTTCACGTTCAGCTAAACTGAAGAACACACAAACACACACACACACACACACACACACACACACACACAAAGAACAATCAAGCTAAGAAACTAGTACATTCACACAATAAACAACAAATCCACTAAAATCCACACAAAAAAAGTGTCGAAACTGAATCTAAAACAGGGGAGCACTGACCAGGTCGAATTGATGAGGTCCCTCCAGTTTATAGACGGAACATTGCGTGGACCCGACACATGAAACGCGTAAGGATGCTGGGCCTGAAGCCCAAGCTCAGTTTTCGTGCTTTGATTCTCACAATTACGATTCTTGTCTTGTACTTCAATCTCCTGCAAGACCTCGTCTATAACAATCTCCTCTGCTTTTCTTTTCTCCATTTTCCTAGCTCAACATCAGAAATAAAGGGCCGCCTTGGTTCTTAGCTCTTCGATCAACCCGTACGTTTGCGAGCACGAAAATTAAGGTAAGAAGAAAAGAAAAAGGGAAAGAACCCAAAAGAAGATTGAAGAAGGAAAGTGTTTCAGGGGTTTGGTCGGGCTCAAGATCAACCTTCCATTGTTGAGATTGCTAGGAGATTTAAGGTGTTGGGTTAAATGCTAGTAATGATTTTCTAAATTTAAAAAAACCCGATTGCTTTTTGGGGTATTTTTGTTCTTCATTTAGGAGTGGGAAATCTATGCAACGGTCATATTTTACATGTGAATAGGTTTTTTTTTGTCTACTTTTTTGGCAGCTCAGGTGCTGCTAACGTTCGAATGGCACACGCGCGAAGAAATCCACAGATCAAAGATAAACGTGTTCAAGGGTATTTTCGTCATTTGATATGATTTCTAATTATGGGAGGAGCGTCTTACGATTTACAACGACGGATCTATTCCAATTAAAACCGTCTGCATTTTCTGTAGTAGATCCATTCCAACAATCTAGTTAGACCAAAACGACAATCGGCCCTCGTATAAATTTCCGCCAAGATCGGGCAGCTCTACGCCGAGTCCGCCCTCCGGAAGCTCCGCATCTTCATCTCCTCCGGCCGCCTCATCTCGGAGACCGTCTGGAAGAACCCCGGCGGCCGCCTTGTCGGCCTGTCCTGGACCGACGGCCTAACCCTAGTCTGCATCACGCAGGACGGCACCGTCTATTCGTACAGCATCCACGCCGATCTGGTCAGTACCTTCTCCCTGGGCAGAGAGTGCTTTGAGAACAGCGTCGTTGAGTGCGTCTACTGGGGGAACGGCGTCGCCTGCATCAACGAGGCCTTCTAGATTTTCGCGGTGCCGGATTTTAAGATCCCAAAGACTGTCAAATTGGCCGATTGCAATCTGGAGGAGCTTCCCCATTGTATGGCGGTGATCGAGCCACATTACACAAAGTCAGGTGATGCTGAGGTACTGTGTAGGCCATAATTGCAACTGACTTTACTCATGATCCATCTTATGGCGGTAATGTAGAACCTGTGCTAGTTGACCTGATGGGGGAGGATTGTTGCATTAGGTTGAAGGCTGCTGATAGCTAGGCCCAACCATTAGGCGGTTATACTTTGCTTTTAACAAATATTCATATTTTCATACACAAGTGACATATTTTAAGAAGCAACATAAACAAAAATCTGAAAATGCTTGATTTGATTAAGCAAATGTCTTTAAGAAACAAATGAATTGCAAATCTTTGTTTGGCTGAACCTCTGAAAAATGGGAACTTCAGTCTTTAGTTACAGTTATGGTTTATACAGAACCGCTGTCCAATGCATCGGTTATAAACATGGTGGACAACTCTACGAAAAATTCAATTTTTTTAGAACTTTCATGCACGAGTGGAGAGTCGCAAGCTTTGGAGTACTTTTAGAATTCTTATTTACATTTACTTGAAGAGCTAAGCTACTCGAATGTTCACTAACATTTGACCAGCTTTGTTATGTCTGCGTACATGGCAAAATAAAATGTTTGATAAAACTATTTTCTTTCATCAGTTTCATTTCTTTCTTAGTTGATCATAGTACCATAAAATGTCTGCCTCATTGGCAATCAGCTAATTTGCTAGCAGAATTAACATTGACGATATTTAGCTTCGAGCTGTTGCTAGATGTATATACTAGTTTACGTTCGAAAATTGAAACTTCCTAAAATCAGGTTGACAGGTTCATAGAAGTTTGTGCTTTATATGTCAATATTTAGATTGATCGTCAAATGCTTTAGATCTAGTGCCAAACTTGTTATGTGTTTTCTGATCGGATGCTATCATGTATTCATGTGTAAATGTGTTGACTGTGAAGACTCAAGTTAAAGGTATTGCCTGGATTTAATAGATATTTAACACTTTTTTCAAAGTTTAATGATTGCTGAAGATATGCCATTTGACGTGTTTTTGTACCTTCTCTATTTCTTGTGTTTATGCCATTTTACTCGTACTACGTTGGAGATGCAACAGGTGGGTTAGGAATATTTTTTTTCCTTTCACTTCAGCTCTAACCAATTTAGCTTACTCTTTTTGCCAATTTATCTATCGACTTACATATGCTTTAGAGCAAATTCTCTTCTCAAACTATATGTTTACATCCGTTAGAACTGGATCGCCAAGACTCATTAACAATATAGATATTTGGAATGATAAGAATTAGGTTTCTGATAAACATCCATTTTTTATTACTTGTGGAGAATTGGGATTGGAATAGCTCAAAGGGTAAAACATTGGCTGCAACTTTACTATACGTGTTTCTGGACTTTGCAACTTATAGTATTTATCTTGGTAAAATGCAACCTGAACTTCATGAACATTAATTTGCAAGCTCTTGTACATCTTGACCATACAATCATCCGCAAAAATGGACGGACACGTGTATGGTCAAGATGTAGGAGAGGTTACAAATTATGAATGTTTCTTAAATTTAGATTGCATTTTACCAAGTTGTAAAGTTCAAAAACACGTATATTACAGGTTAAAAAAAAGTTTTACCCACTCTCAAATTCTGGGTTAGAGCTGTACAAGTTTGAGAATGACCAGACAAGATTAAAACTAGAAAGGAACTTAGGGATGAAATGAAAGTAATTTTGTTTCTTAGGGAATAATGAATACTGAAATCCTATATTCTGCTAGGCTGATGAGAATTTGAGATTGCTCCGCCCTTCACTACTGGAAACTGTTGAGGCTTGTACTGAGGCTGCTGGTTATGAATTTGATATTTCCCAGCAGTGGACACTGTTGAGAGCTGCAAGTTATGGACAAACGATTTCTAGGTAGGTTGGCCGTAAATTTGATTCATTTTGAACGGACTGTGATTCTTCATGCACGAAATGGAATGTATGTTCTCTCCTTTTTATGTTGTTTTCGACTTATAACTTATTTATTTGCCGTGATTTGAAAAGGAAACTACAGGTGTTTGCATTCAGAGATATAGATCAGAAAGAACAACTAAAAAATACAATGAGAACATTTACATGTTTCTATCAACACATGTACAAGTTATTGCTTGCATATTCTGTCACGTTTTTATATCTCATGCATCTTTTCTAAGTAATCATAGCTTAAATGTATGCTGCACATAACTAAACAAGCTGGCAGAAACAAACAGCAACTTTTAGAAGTTTTTCCCAACTGTTGAAATATGATCCGAAAAAGAATTCAAGAGAAAATTGTATATTCAATCGAAAATTCCTACAACAATTAGAATATTCAGGTTTCAACTAAACTAAAATTCCAAAGAGAGTTTACTTCCAATTGAATAGTTTTAGTGTTAATTTCCAGTAGAATGTACGTTGAAATTTCCAACTGATTTATCAGTGCTATTCGTTTATAATTTTATTATTGGAATATTTTACCATTAATTTTTTCTTCAATATTTTTCTAAATAAAGCGTGATCAAATTTTACTTTTTTTTTTCCCTGGAATAAATTTCTGGTTCGGCCCTAATCTTGAAGCTGCTCTTTTCATGCATGTAAACTGTATTCCATAGATTTCATAGACTTCATATAAATAACAAGCAGCGACGGATACAAAATTTTTCATGAGCCTGGGCAAAAAAATTACTTATCAGTTAAAAATAATAATTCTCCTTCTAAAAAAATAGTTCTAATATTTTTAATCCTTGTATGAGGTGATTTAATCATTATATGCAGGCCGATTCATTTTGTTGCATTCAATAAGAATGCATACTTATGCTATAAAATATCATTTTTTTATGTATATTTTTAAAATGTGATTCAATCTGCAAGTGTCATATTTATTTAAAAAGCATAACTCTCTAACCATTAGGTCTGCTAGATAATAGCTCTATTGTATTTGTTTTCAGCCTCTAACCTCAATCGGAAATACTTGTAGTTTTCCGTTAAAAATGAGTCGCACTTCAAAAAGAATCTGATTTGATACTATAAAAGTAATAAATAACATTATTTATAAGAAAATCATCATTTAATTCAAGAGGAAATACCGAANGTCTGGAGAAAAAAGGATTTTATTAAAGAAGCTTAAGGAACGATGAACCCAAGCTATTTATTTCTAACTATACAATGTCTCTTATAGAGATTTGTCCAACGGTAAAAAGATTACAAAGAAGGAATAAAATCATTTTAGAAAGGAAATGATATAATCAAGGGTAGGATCTACTTGTTGCCTTTTAGGTTGAATTTTCAATCCCTCCAGAACTTTACTTTAAGTAACAGAGGTCTCATCACAGGCTGATTTATTGGCCTTAATATCCTCCCTCAAACTATGTTGGGGTCGTAGACGTAGACATAGTTTGGTCTGAAAGAAACCAAGCACGCTTTTGGGCAATGACTTCGTAAAAATATCAGCGACTTGGAGTTGCGTCGGAATATGTTTGGTGATGAGCTGTCCGGCTGCAACTTTTTCACGAACAAAATGATAGTCAAGTTCAATATGCTTGCTACGAGCATGAAACACTGGATTAATTGTCATATGGAGTGCGCTAATGTTGTCACAATGGAGGACTGGTGTCGAAGTTAATGGGACGTGTAGATCTTGTAAGACAAATGTCATCCAAGTAAGTTCAGCGGCAGTATGAGCCATGGCACGATATTCAGCTTCTGTACTTGAACGGGAGACTGTATGCTGTTTTTTTGCACACTAGGAAATAGGATTGCTACCAAGGAACGTGCAAAAGCCTGTAGTAGAGCGTCGAGTAACCTGACAACCAGCCCAATCTGCATCTGCATAAGCACTAAGATCAAGTGTTGTGTGGGAAATAAGATGTAGGCCAAGATGAATGGTACCTTTCACATAACGCAGGATACGACGAACAATTTTTAGATGAGATGTGCAAGGTTGATGCATAAATTGAGATGCATAGTTAACACTATATGTAAGGTCAGGTCGTGTAAGTGTTAAATATTGAAGAGCTCCAACAAGACCTCTATACATGCTCGGATCATCAAGAGGAGAACTAGTCTCATGAAGTTTATTTTTTATTTCTAAAGGAGTGGACATTAGTTTGCAATCTGTCATGCTGGCTCGTTCTAAAATGGAGAGTGCATAGTGTGATTGAGAAAGATGCAAACCTTGAGTAGTTTTTGAAAC